CGCGGGTGGCGACGGAGGCGGCGGCGACGCGCGGCGGCGACGGCGTCGGCGCGCGGCGACGGGCGGACGACGCGCGCGCGCCCCGGCGCCCGAGGATGGATTACCGGACGATCCCGTGGAGCTTCAGAGCGCTCGAAGGGCGCTGAAAGGTGCGCACCGACAGCTCGTGAACGCGCTGCAGAGTGAAGTCGCGATGCGACAGACGCTCGCGCAGAGTCAGCTGGATTTCCAACGGACCATGCGAGGACGAGCCGATTACGTCCTGCGTCAGTGGCACAAAGATAATCTCGGAATGATCGCTGGGAAGTACCAACAGAGTCAGTTCGCCGCGTCGGCCGCGCGAATCTCCTATCAGGAGGCGCTGCGGCTGTTCCACGCCGCGGTAGAGCGCGCGGAGGCGGCGCGCCGCGGGGGCGCGGCGGCGTCGCCGAACGGTCGTGGCGGGCGCGCGACGACGTCGGAAAACCATCACGATGCGCGAGAGGAGAGATACGAGCTCGCGAAAAAGGCGCTCGAGGCCGAATGTCGAGCGTGGGAAGTTTTATTAGCCAAGGATCCTACGGAGATGTCGCTCAAGGATCTGCGAGTCGTCGCGACGGATGTGGGCGTCGACACCACCGTGCTCGTCGAGCGCGGCGACTTCGTCGCCGCGCTCGAGAAGAAAAAGAAAGCGGGCGACGTCGAGTTCAAGGAGCGCAAACGCAAGCGCGAGGCTGAGTTCGACGCGGCGGAGACGCGACGCAAGGCGCGTCGCGAGAAGGAAGAAGAGGAATCGGCGCACCGCGAAGCCGTCCAGCAGGTGAGCATCTGGTCCGCCCACGCCGACCTTCGCCTGTTCCTCCACCGGTGCGGTATCTCCATAGAGCAACACGGTCGATCGACCAAGAGCATCCTCGCCAAGGCGTACCGTCAGGCGATGCTCAAATTCCATCCCGACCGCGCGCGGCAGAAATCCACGCGCGAGCGCGCGCTCGCGGACGAGGTCACCAAATGGCTCACCCACGCGTGGCAGAGCGTCCCACCGTGAGACCATTCGCCAGCACCCGCTCGATTCGCACCATCGTCGTTGAATAATCATCATCACGAATCCCGCGTCGACGCGCGTCCTTCGCCTCGTCGTCTCGCGCCGTCGTCCGCCCCACTTCGCCCCTCTCCCGCCCCTCTCCCGCCCCTCTCGCGCTCTCCCACCGCATGGTGCTCAAGCGCATGTTCAGTCGAGGCGCGCTCGCTCGAGAGCGCGCCACGGGGTCGCGCTCGCGGAGAAAACGTGCGAAAACACAGCGTTTCGCGCCCGGCAACCTCAGAGCGCCCGGACGGAAATTCGTCGTCGTCACCACGGCGGCGCTTCCCTGGATGACGGGCACGAGCGTGAACCCGCTTCTGCGAGCGGTGTACCTGGCGCGAGGGGACGACACGCGAGAGGTCACGCTCATGGTGCCGTGGTTGGCCAAGGCGGACCAGGCGATCGTGTACCCGCGCGAGACGACGTTCGAGACGCCGAGCGAACAAGAGACGTACATCAGACGATGGGCGAACGAACGCGTGGGATTCGAGGCGAGAATAAAGATAACGTTTTACCCGGGACGGTACGCGACGGATAAGGGGAGCATCGTACCGGTGGGAGACATCGCGCGCAGGGTGCCAAAGGGAGACAGAGACGTGGCGATACTGGAAGAGCCGGAGCATCTGTGTTGGTTTCATCCGGGGGCGAGGTGGACGTCGAGATTCAAACACGTGGTGGGAATCATTCACACGAATTACTTGGAGTACGCGCGACGGGAAGAAAACGGGGCGCAGAAGGAGCAGGTGCTACGATGGATCAACCATTTGACGACGCGCTGCCATACGCACAAGGTGATCAAACTGTCGGACGCGGTGCAGGACTACGCGCGGTCGATCACGCAGAACGTGCACGGGGTTTCCAATGGATTCATCGAGGGCGGCAGGGCGAAGGCGAAGGCGATTAAAAAGGAGGGAAGCGCCGCGTTCCGTCGCGGCGCGTACTTCATCGGCAAATGCATCTGGGCAAAAGGATATTCAGAGTTGCTGCACGTTGTGGGTGATTTCAATGAAAAGTACGCCAAGGGAAAGAAGGGGGCGCTAGAGATGGATGTTTACGGTGACGGTGACGACTTCGCCGTCGTGAAATCGGCGATCGCGGAGCAAAATCTGCCGCTGCGCCTGCTGGGTCGCCTGGACCACGCGGATCCGAAAATTCTAGATTACAAAGTCTTCGTCAATCCATCCTTGTCAGACGTCGTCGCGACGACTTCGGCCGAGGCTTTGGCCATGGGAAAGTTCGTCGTCTGTGCGGAACATGCGAGCAACGCTTTTTTCGCCACCTTTACGAATTGCCGAACGTATTCAAACATGGATGAGTTCGCAAAGTGCATGCGAGAAGTCATGACCACCACCCCGAAGCCGATGACGGACGAAGAGCTCCACCGATTGACATGGGACGCGGCGACCGAAAGACTGCTCGATTCCGCGGCTCCGTGCGGCGACACCAAGTACACGCTCAAGAGTCACGTCGCCGATTGGTTCACCGCTCGATTCCACTACGCGCTCGTTGCGAGCGAATCCTTGCGTTGCTTGATCGGCGGCGGCGCCGGGACACTCGAACCGCCGGAAGATCTCTCAAAGTGGGACCCGGATTCGTGGAGTGGAGGTTTGATGGATCGAAAAATGACGTGATTCAGCTACAAGCTATGGGTTGCTATGACTAGAGAGCTCAATCGTTCGGTCAACGAAAGAGTCTACAGGGACGTGTGAGATCACTAACGTCGTTCGATTTTTGGCGGCAGATCGCAAAGCGGCGGTTACGATGGTTTCCGCCTCCGCGTCGAGCGCGCTCGTCGGTTCGTCCAAGAGCAATACCTTTGGCTCAGAGTAAAGCGCTCTCGCGATCGCGACTCTTTGCTTTTGACCTCCGCTCAGTTGGCAGCCTCGCTCTCCGACTGGCGTCTCGTATCCACCGAGCTCATTCTCAATCACGTCGTGAATGAGTGCTATTTTGGCGCACTGCATCGCGCGCTCGCGGTCGATCGTACCGCTTGAAGCGTACGCGATGTTGAAGAGAATCGAGCCATTGAACAAGACGGGCTCTTGCCCGACCAGCGCAAAACATTTCCTTCTCAGCCAGCGTTTCTTAAGCGTCTCGATGTTGTTTCCATCGAGTGTAATTTTTCCCGAGTAGTCTCCGTAGAATCGCTGCAACAAAGAGAACAGTGTCGATTTCCCACTGCCGCTTCGTCCAACGATGCCCACAATTTCGCTCGGCTTGACGACGAAACTGACGCCCGACAGAACACGAATGTTCGGCCGTGTCGGATACGCAAACGATACGTTCTCGAAGGCTATCTCGCCCATGATGCTCGACTCGAGTAACTTATCGCCCATCTGCGCGTCATCCTCTTCCTCGCCGTTTCCACCGTCTAAAATTTTAAAAAGTTCCTCCGCGGCTCCTCGTGCGGCGAACAAATTCGTAAACGAGCTCAACAGATTCCCAAAGTACTCCTGAAGGATCGCGCTGTACAACATCGCTGCCACGAGTACTTCAGCGTGCATCTCGCCTCGGAGCACGTATCCACTCCCGACGTACAGGATCGTCGCCGGGACGAAACAAGCGGTCAACAGAGAGTAGTTGATGGTGTAATACACGCCCGATAGTTGCGCGCTCCTGAGCGACTCCGCATACCACGCATCGACGGCATGTTTGAATCTTCCGCGCTCTGATTTTTCCTGCGCGAACGAACGAACGGTTCTGATGTTTGACAGCGTCTCCTGCACCACCTCGTTGGACTTTCCGAGCGTGTCTTGAACTCTCTTCGCGTTCTCCGACATCACGGTGCCGTAAAAATAGTTGATCGTAGCCGTCACCGGCACCACCGTGAGCGCAAGTAATCCGAGCTCAAACTTCACCCACAATAAATATCCGCCCACTCCCACCACTCGCACCACCGCCTCGATGCACGACCGAAACAACCATGACAGATTCGCACCGACTTGAGAGCAATCGTTGCTCAGCGTGCTTGCCGTCGCCCCCGAAGTCCTCGCGTCGAACCACGCCATGCGCTTTTTCAGCGTCGCCGAGAACGCTCGTCGTCGTAATCGTCGCACGATGGACGTCTGCGCGATCGAGAACAAATAGACATTCCAAAAATCGAGCAACCCGTTGCACGCTCCGGCGATGAGGAACGCGTACCAGTTATACTCAAATCGCCCTCGATCACCGTCCATCGCCCCCCCGATCGCGGCGCTCATCCAGTGCGGCATGGAAACACTGAACGGCAGGCGCACGAACAGGCTCAGGACGCCCAGCGCGAGCGTGCTCGCGTCTTGTTTCGCCAGCTGAAAGAGACTTCTAAAGCTCACCCGTGCGCCCGTCTTCGCGCCGCGCAGTAAGCCACGCTCGAGATCATCGTCCGTCGACGACAACGGATCCGCGAGTTCCCGGTCGTTCGCATACGTCGTCTCCGCGTTACCACCGAGTAACGCTCGGGATTCGGTCACGGGCGTCATGGCGCCGCGCGCCGGCGAATGCGGCGCGCCCGTCGTGCGCGTTAGGTATTGGTGATACATTCGGTCTACGCGTCGGACCGACTTCTACGATCGTCTACGCGTCATCATCCTCGTCCTCGTCCTCGTCCTCGTCTTCGTCCTCGTCCTCGTCCGACGCACCGACGACCTCGCCGCCGTCCCGCGCGGCGTCCGCCCGCGGCGTCCGACACCCCGGACACGCCTCGAGCTTCGACCCGCACCCGTCACACAGCGATCGATACGCCAGCCTGATCGTCTTCAACGCGCACGACGCGCACCTCCCTCGCTGGCCGTTCTTCTTCGCTTTATACTTCCCCATCTGGAACCTCCAGCGCGCTTTGGCGACGCAGCGGTCGCACACATTCGCGCACGCGAGCGACTTCAACCGTTCTTCATTCGCGCGATCCGTCTCGGTGCGCTTGATATCGCGCTTGGCGACGAACGGGGTTCGGTTCTGGTGCTTCTGCGCGCGATGTCGCGCGCTCGACATCGCGCGCGGGCGATTGACGCCCACGGCTGGCGGCTGAGACATTTTCGGATGCGCGCTGGAGAGGTCACATGCCCATCGCGGGATGGGCGAAGCGCCGCGCGAGCGCGATGGCCCACGTGAGGTCGGCGCCGTGCGTCAGCGCGAGATCGAGCGAGCGATGGAAAAGGGGCACGGATACGATGCCTCGATCGTCGTCGCGCGCGAGAACGTCGTTGGGTGACGTCGAGACGTCGGCGGCGCGCGGCGGACGCTGGGCGACGACGCGAAAGCGACGCGGAAGCGGCGCGGATTCCAGAGCGCCAGAAAAGGCGTTGATGCGAAAACAGCGCTCGTAGAACTTGCCGTTTCGAGCGATTTTGGTCAGAACGATCCCGCGCTCGAGCTGACGGTCGGTGGAGACGGCGTGGAGATGAGCCGCGACTCGGGCTCGACGCGCGTGGGATTCGGCTTTGGCTCGAATCGACTCAACGTCGCGGGTGTATCGCGCGTCGTTCGTTCCCGCCTCATCGAGTGTCTTCCGCAAACGATCTTTGCAGCTCGCATTGTCTTTGCGAAGCGAGTCTAAGAGCGCGGAGCGCTCTGTCGATCGTCTCGCCGCGGCCCGCCGGAAGACTGAGTGCCTAGAACGAGCCGCGTCCGCCTCGATGAAGCGTCTCGATAACTCCACGGTATTCTCTCGCCATTGCGCTCCCACGGCGTCGTATCTCAGGGCGTGATACTTTCCCAAGACGTACGTCGTGAACAACTCGCACGCGAGCTCTTCGTTCTCGTCGGAAAATTTGGTAAGTTTGGATTCGAGCGCGTACCCGGCGCGAGTGAGCCGAGCGTTCACCACTCGCTGCGACTGACTCGTCGATCGAAGCTTGCTGATCTCTTCGTACAGCTCAGTGCGCTCTTTCGTGACGATGGCAGATGTAGATTTGAGTTCGTTGAAGGCGCGCGAGAGCTGCTCGGCGCGCCTGGAGTTGTGCGTTGCCGTCGCTCGCTCGGCGCTAAGTTGTGCCTCCAATTTACGCGCGGCGGCGCGCATGGTATCCACTTCATTCTTACACCGTGCTCGTTCACTCTCTCGCTCACTCGTCATCGTTGCGACTTTCACCAATAGTCCTCGCACGCGCGCTTCCAGGGAGCTTCGCAGACTCTCGATTGCGTCGAACTCTTTGGCTTTTGTCATCGTCTCACATCGAGCCAGCTCAAGTGCCTTTTTCAGCGATTCAGTTTGCACGCGGGTGTTGCAAATCTCATGCTGCAACTGATCCCTCGCGTGTTTCATGGCGTTAATGTCTTCCTCGGAGCTCTTCGTCGCGTTAGCGAGCGCTCGTCTTAGAGACGTGACCTCACCCATTAATCGATCAACAGCTTCGTCGTCGCATTGACCGCGCAGCGCTTGCGTCAGCTTCCGAGGATCCATATCAACGACGGACGATCGCACCTCAGGCGAAGTCACGATGCGCATCGCTCGAGTGGCGAAATCAAGTGAGCTCGCGCTCTCGTTCGCGTGCTCGACTTCTGTGTTCACGCACACGAGCATCACCGTGCGACTCTTCCCGTTCAAGCTCGATTCTAAGATTTTGGTCAGAGTCGAATCGCGATACGGAATATGTTTGTGCCCCGCCGCGAGCGCGCTGACGACGTTCCCGAGGGCGAAAAGGCTCGCGTTGATGTTGAGCGCCTCTTTGAATCGCTCACCGACGTTTTGCGTCTTCTTCTGACGCTCGCTTCCCGCCAAGTCAACAATGGTGAGTAATCCACAACGCTTCTCCACGGTGACGAGTTTGTGCGCATCGCTCGTCTCTCCATCCGTCGTTCCGGCTTCTTCATCCGTCTCGGCCTCAAGCGGACGCTCGATGCGCTCTATTTGCATCTGGAAAACGCAGTGCGACCGCGAGCTCTGTTTGTTCATGTGCGTCTCCGCGTAGACCAAACGCGAGCGTCCTCGGCGAAAGCACTCGAGCACGTCCTCGGCGTTTCGACACGGTGTCCAAGCCAAACCCTCGATCTCCCAACCCGAACCGTCGCACGCAGGTGTGACTTTTAAGCCCGATCGCTTCGCCACCAAATCATCGACGTGCTCGTTATAAATCTGCGCCATGGACACGGAGACCTCGTACGCGTGCCTCGCGTCGCTCGCCGCCCGAGCGAAACAATCCACGGCAATCCTCGGAATGATTCCCGGCCCACCGCTCGCGCCCTCGCCCTCGTCTTCGACCCCACCGTTCAACAGCGAGTACGTCTTCCCCGATCCCGTCTGTCCGTACGCCAAGACGCACCCGCGACATCCGTTCCGCACCGCCTCGAGCACCGGCGCGCAACACTCCGCGTACACCTCTCGCTGCGTCGCGTTCCCATCGAACGCACCGTCCACGGCGTACCGCCGCGCGATCCCGTGCGTCGACGCCGTCGTCCGCACGCGCACCGCCGCGCCGTCGATCCACGCCCCCCCCTCCCCGTCCGCGGGCTCGGTCAACGCCCCGCCCGAACGCCGGTCCGCCTCCCCACCCCCCGACGTCCGCGTCTCCGTCCCCACATCCCCCGCGCGCCGTCCCGCGCGCGCCCGCGCGTACACGCGCACGCGCTGCGCCGACATCCTCGCCCGAACGCACGCCCCGCGCGTCGACGACCGCGTCCATCGACGACCGCGCGCGCGGCGTCGCACCGAAAAAACGTCGCTTCGCATCCCATCGCGCGCGCTTTTTGGTTTTTACCCGCGCGTCCACCGCGCGCCCGCGGGTGACAGGTATCGTATTGTACCATCCATGAACGCTGTGTAGGCACCACCGTCGCGCGCGCGCGCGCGATCCCGACGGTGTCTCTGATGGCGATCTACGACGTGGAGTACGACGATGCCGCACCGCGCGAACGAGTGGCTCTCCGCGCTCGGCGTCGACGCGCGCGTCCGCACGGCGCGACGCGCGAGCGATGAGCGCGATGTGTGCGACGGGTGCGTCGACGCGCGCGCGCGAACGACGGAGGGACGGAATGTGGGCGATCGCGGGGGGGCGAGCGTCGATCGGGGCGCGCGATCGGCGCCGAGCGAGCGGGGGGGGACGGCGAACGCGGTATCGACGCGGTCGAGAGGATGGATCGCGTCGACGGCGTGCGCGGCGACGCGCGCGGGTGTGTGTGGGGGGGGCGATGGATGCGCGCGCGTGATTTTACGGTGGTTGAAACGCGCGGGTGTGGTGGTGGGAAACGGGACGCGGGGACGCCGGTGTGGGCGGATGATTGATTGATTGAATGAATGAGACTGACGACGTTTGCGCCTTCGATGAACAGCGCGCGCGCACCTGCGAGGAAGCGCGTTGACGGATCGCCGAGGGCGATCGAATGGACGATCGACGCGGCGGCGATGCGTGCCGCGAGCCGCGATCATGGCGGGGACAAACACGCCGGTGACGGCGGCGCTCGGCGCGGCGGCGGCGAACGACGGTATGGATAACGTCTTGAGCATCATTCTCGGCGGCGGCGCCGGAACGCGTTTGTACCCGCTGACGAAGAAGCGCGCGAAGCCGGCGGTTCCGCTCGGCGCGAATTATCGTTTGATCGATATCCCAGTGTCCAACTGCATCAACTCCGACATCAACAAGGTGTACTGCTTGACGCAATTCAACTCGGCATCGCTCAACAGGCACTTGGCCCAGGCGTACAACACGAACATCGGCACGCACACTCGACAAGGCTTCGTCGAGGTGCTCGCTGCGCAGCAGAGCCCGGTGAACAAGGCGTGGTTCCAAGGCACCGCCGATGCGGTGCGCCAATACTTGTGGTTGTTCGAAGAGTCCAAGTGCGAGGAATATTTGATCCTCTCTGGCGACCACCTGTACCGCATGGACTACCGTCCATTCATCATGAAGCACCGCGAAACAGAAGCCGCGATCACCGTCGCGGCTCTGCCGTGCGATGAGAAGCGCGCGAGCTCTTTCGGCTTGATGAAGATCGACAACACCGGTCGCGTGATTGAATTCGCCGAAAAGCCGAAGGGGGCCGAGTTGCAAGCGATGAAGGTCGACACGACTGTTTTGGGATTGGACGCCGACAAGGCGCAGGAGATGCCGTTCATCGCCTCGATGGGTATCTACGTCTTCGATGCAAAGAAAATGCGTGAGTGTCTCCTCGAAAACTTCAAGGAGGCGGATGATTTCGGCGGTGAGATCATCCCGATGGCGGCTCAGATGGGCTTGAAGGTGCAAGCGTTCCTGTACGAAGGGTACTGGGAAGACATTGGTACTGTCGACGCTTTCTTCCACGCCAACTTGTCCTGCAACGACCCAAACCCGGCGTTCAACTTCCACGAAATGAACGCGCCGATCTATACGCAATCGCGCTTCTTGCCTCCGAGCAAGGTGCAAGACTGCGAGATTGAGCGCTCCACGATCGGCGACGGTTGCTTCATCACGAAGGCAAAGCTCAAGAATGTGATGGTGGGTCTGCGCTCGACGGTGAACGCGAACTGCGATTTGGAGGATACGCTCGTCATGGGTGCCGATTACTATGAGACTTACGACGAGGCGAAGACCAGCGCTCTTCCGGGCGGCGTCCCGATCGGCATTGGTGCGGGAACTAAGATTCGCAAGGCGATCATCGACAAGAACGCTCGGATCGGTGAGAACTGCCAGATCCTCAACGAGGCTGGCGTGATGGATAAGGACTGCGAGAACGAGGGTTACATCATCCGGGACGGCATCATCGTCGTCATCAAGGATGCGGTAATCAAGCCTGGCACGGTGATCTAAATCGAGCTCAAGAGCTCGGGCTACGCTCGAGATGCGTTTGAACTCAAGCCCCGCAAAGACTTCATTCTATTTCCGATCAAAAGCATGAGTTCATTGTAAAAACGAAGCAAGCGAAGAAGCAAAAACATCATCGTTCTATAACACGAGGCTATTTAGAGGAAGCGATTCCTCGCGTGGCCGCCACGGCGCGAACGATCCTTGCGTCTATGCCTTCCGCATTTGCCGAGCGCGCAAATGCGTCATACTCTTCGCGAGGGACGCTCACGCACCTGTACCAAGCGCTCAGCGCACTCGGAGGATCGAACGAGAGCGCCGCGACAATGTTTGAAAAGTACTCCAAATCCACCGCGAGCTGCGCCGCCCCTTGTTCCGTGAGAGACCCGATGGATTGTACCTCCTTCAAGAGCAACTCGGCGCTCGCTTCGGCAATCTTCGCTATCCAATCTTCTGACGTATCCTGCCCCGAACGCACGTCATCGGAAAGCGAAACTGTACGTGGAATATCGTCATCGTTCGCCCCGTCGAGATGTTGCGGCAGCGAGAGTAAATACTCTCCAGCGTTCGTCATACGCTCTTGAGGATACGCGCTGAACGTGGGCAGCTTGTACGCGCTCTCCGTCGGCTTGGCGCTCCAAACGTCCGACGCGCCGATACCCTTAAGTTCGAGCGACACTCTACCCAGAAGAGTATCATGAACAAACTTTTCGAGCGTCCTCGCCAAACCGTTCATGTGCTCGGCGCCGACGGGTATGATGGAGCTGTCGAGGGAGTGTTTTTCCGCGGCGTCAGCGACCTTGTCCAAAAAGATGGCTAGCTTGCGAGATCTCGGAGCGTGAGCGGCGACGCTCAATGCGATTAAGGTACGAACCGTCGGGGTACTCGTGAGCTCAGTTGTGTTCAAAGCTGATCGAAGCGTCGAGTGGAGCGCCAAGATTTTGACTCTCAAGCTCGATTCAAAATCCAGCAGCGCGGAGGGAATGGCGTTGATAATGTCCAACAAGCTCAGTGATCCTCGAATAAACTCTTCGCCAGCGGAATTTGCGTTGGACTTCACCATGACGGCGGAAGAGTCTATCAGTCCAGCAGCCTGTCTCAAGTCACGCATGATGACTGAGATCAAATCAGCGTAATGCTCCATTCCACTCTCGATGGCGTGCATGCACGTCAAGAGCTCGACTCCGGCCGTGATATCGATGCATCGATCTACGGCTTGACCAAACACGCTCATCGCCTTAGGCAACGTCGCGAGCAGGTCGTGAGAGATAGAGGTCAAATCGTCCGATGTGACCACCGAGCGTGCCTCGGGAATATTGACAATTGACTCGAATTCCCGCCGCATGTTTGACAACGCGAGTTCCCCATAGCGTTGCTCGACGGCAATGAGCGGCTCGACTATCGCCATTAGCGCATCATTGATCGCGCTATTAACCGAAACTTTCGCCGGCATCGCCGAGGCGTCGTCATTCGTGAGCTTTAAGAGCGTCACGGCGACGTCTTCGACGTACGTCTCAAAGGCTCGACGAATCGGAACGAGCTGCTCAGTTGGCATCGCACTGAGTTTCTCCGTGACGGATCCCTCGAGCGTGGCGTGTAGAGAGCACCACGCGATTGGAATCAACGACGCGGCGTTTTCGGGAAATGCGCTCGCGCACCACGATATCTCTTCTCGAAGCGTCGTGGCGCACTGCTTCAAAAACTCTTCAATCATGCGAACTGGAGCCTCCGACTTGCCGCTCGTCGCCGCCGCCGCCTCGCGTTCGCGCGTCTTCCACTGTTTCATCAACGGGCCCGTCACTCGCGTCTCCGCGTACGTGCTCTCCAACGCCGAACCTCTCCCGGTGGCTAGCAACACGTCTCGAAGCTCTCTCGCGGCGGTGCTGTTGTGCGACTCAAACGCCGTGACGAGCGCGGGTCGCACGATCCCCTCCAGCTTGTGCTCGAACGCGTTCACCTTATCCTGCCCGTCCGCAAATTCCGGCACATCCCCGACCACCGCCAACGCCCGCTTCATCCTCGCCAACGCGTCCGACATGCTCCGAATGTTTCCGCTCGCGAAGATTCCGTCCACGTTGGCCATCAAATCCGCCAACCCATTCGTCTCCTGTAAAGTCTCCTTCGCGCTCTCCATCCGACGCTTCGCCGCGTCCAACTGCCGCAACGCATCAACGCTCGCTCTCGACACCTCCTCTACCTCATCCAAACGCGTCAGCATCGCTCGCGTCTCCTCCCGAAGCGCCTCCACGCGTCGCTCGACGCGTTCAATCTCCCGCGTCGCCCGCGGCACCCTCGACGTCGCCTCCCTCGATCGCTCTTCCAGCGCTCGCGCGGCGTCCTCCGAGACCAACTGCGTCTGGAGCTCCAGATCGCTCAGGAACCGTTCGACCGGGACGTCACCGCGCGCGCGACACCGTTCGTTGATCCATCGCGCGCGGTCGAATCCATCGCTTTCGAAATCCCGCATCATCCCCGCGTGCCGCGTCGACGACCCCCCATCCGCGCGCGACGCCATCGTTCGCGCGCGCGACGACCGACGACGCCGCGCGCGCGCGGACGTCACGCGCGAGCGACGCGATCGCGCGCGATCGTCGGCGTCGTCCGTCGCGCGGCGTCGTCGCTCGACGTCCCACGGATCCAACACATGGGCATACGGCGTGTACAATACGACACGTCCCGCGTCGAACGCACCCGCGGTCGACGCGCGACGCCGCATCGCGCGACGCCGCGCGCGCGCGTGTCGCCGTTCGCCCCGTCCGCGACCGCGTGCGCGTTCGACGCGTCGGCCGCGCGCGAGGCGTCGACGACGGGCGACGGGCGCGGGGGGTCGATCGCGCATCGCATCGAGCGGTGCGTGATTCCGAATCGCGACGGCGACGGCGACGGCGACGGCGATCGAGGCCCGTGGCGCCGCGACGGGCGACGGCGGGACGGACGAACGGGCGTGGGTGACGATCGCGCGGCGTCTCGGTCGGTCTCGGGAGACGAAGGGGGTGATAGGAAGGGATTGAAGCGGGCGGATAAGGATGGGCGCGGCGACGACGACGGCGGCGGAGGCGGCGCATTGTTTGGAGGTTTTGAGCGTGCGTGAGGATGGGGGGAGACGGCGAAAGGTGTCGTGCGCGTGCTGTCATAAAATTTTTCCCGATGCGCGGGCGTTGGAGGCGCACTGGACGCTGGTGCAACACAGCGAGCACGACGCGGTGTGCGCGGCGTGCGGACGGCATTTTCCTTCGTTCGATACGCTGCGGCAGCACGTGATGGGGAAGCTGCCCAAGGCGTCGTGCGCGGTGGCGTACGCGGCGCACGGCTGCGATAGATGTTATGAGATATTTGACGACGCCGAGAGCGCGGCTTCGCACGAGTGTGTGTTCAGGGCGACGGCGGACGACGCGGACGACGACGGAGACGCGCCGTGCGTGGCGCTCGATTGCGAGTTCGTGGGCGTCGGTGAGACTGGTGAGGAGCACGCGTGCGCGCGCGTGTGCATCGTGGATTCCAAGGGTAAGGTGTTGCTCAACACGTGGGTGAATCCTGGAGTAGAGGTGACGGATTATCGTGAAACCTTAACGGGCGCCAAGCCCGAGATTCTTGAAAGGGCGCCGCCGCTGGAACACGTGCGAGGAAAAGTCATCAATATTCTGATTGGTAAGGCGCCCACGACGCGGGAGAGACACGTGGGGGTGAGACATCTTTTAGTAGGTCACAGCGTCGAGCATGATTTAGAGGTGCTGAACATCACATGGAAGAAAGGGCTGCAGAGAGACACGGCGCAGTTCCCGCTGTATCTTCGGCACACGCACCTGCCTTTCAAGCTCCGAACGCTGGTAGAAGAACACCTGGGCGAACGCATCCAAGAAAAGGGCGAGATACACGACCCGGAGGTGGATGCCCGCTGCGCGATGCGACTGTATCAATCCGCGAAACGGCGCGATCACCGCATCGCCAAGCTCTGGTTCGATCGCACGCTCTCGTCGCATCCGGTTGACGTTCCGAGCGACGCGACGAGCGATCCCAACACCGGTGTCGAGCTCCTGCGTCGAACGATCGAACAAGATGGCGCGACGAGGACCACACGATTCTATTGCTGGTGCCAAGATCGCGGCGCGCTCATACGCTCGCCTCCCTCGCCGCCGCCCGCCGACGTCTGTTCCTCGGCCAAACGCAAACCCGCCAAACACAAACCCGCCGCGTCGTCGTCGTCGTCATGATGCCGCCGCTCGACGTCCAACGTTCACTCACGCACGACATCACGCACAGAAATTCGCGCATTGTACGCATACAAATCACGATTCCATCCACCGACCGACCCTCTCGATGACACGCGGCGGGTTCCGCACACCGCGGCGGGTTCCGCGCGCCGCGGCTCCGTCGCGCGTTCCATGGACGACCACGTCCTCGCGCGCGCCCTCCACGAAGAGCTCAACGCGCCACCACGTCGACGTGCGCGTGGTGTCGATCGAGGCGCGGCACGACCGAGCGCGCCGGCGCCGGCGACGCGAACGTACCGACCGCAGTGGCCGAAAGCTCGGGTTCGCGTCGCTTCCGGCGGTGTCATCATCGACGGGAACGACGAAACGGACGATGACGGCGCTCGGACGAAGCGCACCGGTCGTGTGCGGGGTTCCGGTGCGTTGAAATCGTCGATTGAATCGTCGAAAAAGACGCGAGTGGCGCGACGGCGCGGCGATGATGAGTTGGATGACGAAACGCTGACGAGGACGCCGTCGCGAGCGACGACGACGACGACGACGAAGGTCGCGAATGGAACGAGCGAGGAGAAGCGGTTGCGAAAGAATGAGTTGAGTCGTTTGTGGCACGCGAAGCGGCGGGCGATGGAGCGGGTGGCGCTGGAGGAGGGGACTGAGAAGGCGTCGTCGTCAAAGGAGCGGAGTAAGAAAGAACGCTTCGAGGACGAAGAGGCGAAGCGTGCGCACGTGGAAGGAGAGACGGAGAAGAAACGGCGGCTGAAGGATAAGACGAAGCGCGAGGGCGCGGCGAAGAAGTTAAGATCGGCGAAGCCGAGGATGATTGCGGTGGATACTGAAAAGACGTCAGACGCGGACGTAACTGTCGCCGTATCGAGCGCCGACGGTTCCGTAGTGCCGACTACGCCGCCGTTGACGGAGGTCAATAAAAAGAACAAAGGAAATGCGCCAACGTCTTCAGGGAAGGCTGACAGTCGGAAGAAGAAGACGGATGATGCGAACGGTGCCGATGAAGAAAGCGGTGAGAAGCAACAAAAACGCAAGAACGAGCGTCGACTGGATCCCCGCTTCCTTAAGTGCAAGGAAGCAGAGTTGAGCGAATTCCCTCCCGGTATGATAGTTTGGGTGAAGTTATCGTCGACACATAAAGGACAGTGGTGGCCCGGTCGCGTGTGGAAGCTGCGACAGTGCGCCAGGGCGTATGATTTGCTAGAGATCAAACCCACAGGCGAGTGCGGGTTGGTGAAATTATTTGGCACACACACGTTTGAATGGGCGGTGAAAGAAGATCTGGCCCCTTACGATGCGCAGAATCAAACGCTGTATCGTGAGAGTATGATGCATTGGTTTTCTGTGAATAAAAGCCGGGCGGGCGGGCGCGGGACGGCGCGCAAAGCTCTGCACATAGCGGACGCCGAGGAGATTGCAGAGTGGTCCGATCCGTGGTCCACATCCGACGATTCGAGTAGCGAGAGTGAGGAGGAGACAGAGGCGGTGGCGACGGCCAAGGCGAATGACAAAGCAAACGAGGTCTTGCGCGTCGGACTCACTCCCGATTGGATCGTGCACGCGACGTGCAAGGTGTTCGAGATGGATCTTCCCACCATCGAGGCTCCGCTCATCAAAGGCCTGCTCGATCCGTGCACGAATTCACACCTCAGGCCGAACATCCCCGCGGAAAAGTGCTACGATAAAAAGGATGACGGTCTCAAGATGGAGAACTCGTGGGAAGGATATCACGTCTTGGTGAATCCACCGTACGAGGCGCAAGTACAGTGGAGGTTCATCAACCGTGCCATAAACGAAGTGGAATGGGAGCGCTGTCCCGGTGTCATTTTGGTGTGCCGCAACTCCACGGATACTTCTTATTTTCAACGTCTCTTGCCATTTCCCCGGATTCATTTACGGCGCACTGCAGTACAGTTCAAGGACTACAGTCACTGTCCCGTCGGGTTCGGGATTTGTGTTTTCTGCATCGTGTCGCCGACGAACCCGAAACAGGCGGAGATGTATCATCGCTTCTACGATGAATTCCATCAATCTGGCGAATTCAATATTCCGGTCGACAATACGTTCGTGAAGAGTTCGCCCTTCATCGAACTCACCACACGTTTGCATCTCACGGCGTGTGCGACGTACAGAGACAGTTGGATCGCGTGCGACGTGTGCGATCGCTGGCGAGAGATTCCGTTCGATCAAATGCTCAAAGCGCGCAAGTCAAAGGTTTGGCAGTGCCGTGACTCTTTCCCGTTGGGGTGTCAGACTCCTCTGACGAAGCAAGAAATCGCGGCGTTTTCAGTGGCGAAACAGGAGCAGAACACAGTCTTGGTCGCGTCTAAGGCTGAGGGGAGGAACGGTCCCGTGGGCGTTTTCGCGGCAGAATCCATGCTCGAAGGTGAAACTTCGCGTGAAGGCGGTAACGTGCACGGTGAAAACGTCCACGATCGCCCGTCCGAAGTCTTGGACGCCGGTGACGATGGTGACGACGAGAGAGAAGAGGAAAACGAGGACGATACGCAGGAGCGCACGCGTGACTTTGTCGCCAACGGTGGAAAATTACACGAGTTGGGATGCCCGTGCAATTGGGAACCGTGTCGGATTCGACGCGCAAAGGAGGATAAAATATTATCAAAAACGTTCCCTGGTTTGCGTTTAGAGTGGGAAAAGATACGCGACGAGCTCACGAACGCGTTGACGCCATTCGAGCGCGAGCGTCTCGAGAAGATCGAAGCAAACAAGAGACAGCTTCGCGCGTTGATGCACGCGACGGAGGAACAAACTACTCTGACGTCGCACAAGGTTTCGCACGCGTCGGCGGCGGAATCCGCGGCACTGCGCATGTTGGATATCGCCAAGCGTAAGCAGAAGACCAAGATGGTCAACGCTGAGAGGCGCGAGCGCAAGGTGGCGTCACTCAAGAAGCAAATGGAGGCGGCGGAGAAGCGCCTGAGCGACATCATGAGCGACATTCGCGAGGCGAGTCACGGCGTCGACACCGCGCTCAAGGTTCTCCAAGCCATACGGTCGAGAGCGCACCGCGTGCAGAGCGAGTTCAACGCGAATAAATCCGAGCTCAAGAAAACGCGCGAAGAGTGCAGACGCAAGCAAACGCTCGAGACGCGCGAGCAGGATGACATTTGGCTCGCCGCCCGCGATCGGTGCGGCGCCGAGGTCCAACATCCATCCGTCGCGGTCGCGCTCCCGATCGCGATCACCGACCGACCGCGTTAGCGTCGAACACATATATCATATCCACGCGCGCATCGTCACCGACGCGGCGTCGCGTTCACGCGCGCTTTCTCCTTCGTTACACCCCCCGCGTCTACGTCGAAATCTTTCATCCCTCCTCCGGCATCCCTCCCGGCACTAAAATCGCCACGTTATTCCCGTTCAACAATATCTGATCCATCCGTCCCGTCTCCACCCGTCCGTTCGCCGTCATCTCGTACTCCGTCACGTCCTCGAGCACCATGTTCACGTAGACGTCGAATCCTCGGAGCGTGCCCGTCATCTCCTTCTCTCCCTTCATGAGCACCCACAGCGGGCTCCCGACGCACCGCTCGACGAGTTCGCTCGGTAACAGCGCGCTGGGGTTGGACGTTCCGGCGCGCGACGGGAGCGCCATCGTCGCGCGCGTCGCGAGAGTGTCGTCCATGACACATCGGGGGGTTTCATTGTACATGCGATTGCGCACACTAGGGTTTAGGGCTGTGTCCTGCCCATCGCGCGTCGCCCGTCGCGGCGTCGCGCAGGCGCCCGCGCGCGCGAAGGACGTCTCTCGCGCGGTCCACGAACGCGCGCACGCGCTCGCGCGTCAACGGAACCGTCGTCGAGCGCACGCGCGCGCGAATGGTGACGCTGACGCGACCGGACTCGGGATCGCGCCACGCGTCGACGCGGCGGACGTCGGCGGAGACGTCGGCGCCGTCGCGCGCGACGTCGAACGCGTCGACGACGACGCGCTCGGCGTCGTCCGAATCCGCGTCGTCGGTCCACACGCTCACGTCGCGAGTGAACGGTGTGGCGTACGCGCACGTCGCGCCGAGCTCGCGCGCGCGGTCCTCGGCGCAGAAGACGTGCGCGACGCCGCCGGCGGTTTGGAATCCGCGCTCGGCGCGCGCGCTTCGCCAGTGCCCGCGTGACTCGTATCCCAACGCTCTCCAACCCGCGTCGTCGAACGGCGCGCATTCGATCAGTAAAGCACCGTTCTCGGCGCCTCGCGCGTACGCCTGCCACGAGTTCCCGTACTCCCGCGCCCGGGCGCCGTCCGCCGCCGTGCCGCCTTGTCCCGGCGCCAGGGCGACTTCGATCGTCCCACGCGGCGCCACGAGCAACGCCTCGCGTATGTACCCCCCCAGCAGCGCACGATTCGCGTGAATCTTTCCCTTTCCCGCGGCGTGGGGAAAATTAAAGCACACGCGATCGAACGCGCCGCGCTCGAACGTCGTCGACAACCGCGTCGCGTCGACGCCGTGCGCCACGCGCGCGCCGTCCATCGCCCGCAGCGCCTCGACGTTCGCCCCGCCCTCCCACGACGTCTCCGTGGCCTCGAGCGAGTGTAAACTCGTCGCCGTGATCTCCCATCCCCTCGGCGCGCACCGCGCGAGCGCGAGGGCGAAGCTAAAGTCGCCCTCACCGACGACTAAAATTCGGTGCGTCGACGAGCCGTGCGCGCGATGAAACCGCTCGACGCGCGCGGGCGAGGCGGAGATCCCGCGCTCGGGGGCGGACGCGCGGGAAAAACATCGCGTCGCGCGCGAACGGCGCGTCGGCGCGCGCGCGAGCCCGACGGAGGCGCGCGCGCGCATGTGTGCGGGCGCCGCCGCCGGGAAGTAGACGAATCGTCACACGACGACGCTTCGTATCGTCGACATGGACGCGCGCGCGGTCGAGCGCGCGCTGGGCGGCTTGCGACCGGCGCCGCGACCGTTCCCACCGCGGTGCGAGGACGGACGAGAGCTGTGTAAGCGGTACATGACGGCGGAGAAGGGATGCGGGTTGGTGGACTGTCCGCGGGCGCACGTCGCGCGGAACGAACGGCCGGCGTGCCCGGATCACGCGACGTACGGACACTGCGCGCGAGGACGAGGGTGTTGGTTGCGGCACGATGTGGTGCCGGAGAGCGCGTTCGGTGCGGGTGGGGTGGTGCTCATGGCGGACTCGGAGTCGTCGCTGCGGCACTTGGGACGGTGCAGGGAAATTTTAGGCGCGGACGCGGTGACGGTGGGCGGACGCACGGCGCTCGGAAGGAGAGGTGTCGACGTGCTGTTGATGATTTCTAGCGGTGACGCGTGCGGAACGCTGAGACGGCTGTACGAGGCGGAACCGCACGGGATGGCGAAGACGAGGCGGACGCTCGCGTTTCCGCGAGACGCGCCGCGAGCGAGTTTCGTGGAGGACGACGAAGCGGACGCGGCGATGGAGCGGTGGATGGAGACGACGATGGCGTCCATGGAGAACGACGTTGGACCGGACGGACGAGCGTACCTTCGCGTGCGAGCGGCGCCGAAGTGGTTGGAGAAGAAAATCTACGGAGCGCTGGACGCCATCATCGAGCGCCGAGGCGAGTCGCTTCGGGTGTCGCCGCCTGGCCGAGGCGTGTCGAGCAGGGATTGCACGCACTGCCTCGACGCGGTGAGTTTATATGGACGCACGTTCACGAGTATCTGGCGAACGCGCGGGGTTTACGAAGACGCTCGCGGGGAAGAGACACGATCTGGGTTCCCAGAGCCCGACGCGCCGAAATTGCCGAAACGCGGTGATGCCACAATGGACGACTTAGCGTTCGTCTACCCGCTGCTTCTGCAAGACTTTCGATCGGACGTTCGCTCTTCTTCATGCAGAGCTTACTTTAAACTCCACGAGGCGCTCCTTCGCGCGGGGGTTCCCGTGAAGGATGATTGGAATTGCGCGGATATCGGCGCCGCGCCTGGCGGATGGACCCGAACGCTCGGCGAACGCGTGACGTCGGGTGTGGTGTGGGCGATCGATCCGGCGGAACTCGTGCTCGATCCGATGCCGGTGAACGTGAAGCACTTGCAAGTACTCGCCGAAGATGCCGTGCAGACGGTTCGTGAGGGTCTTCGCGCGACGAAAACTGGCGAACTTAATCTCATTGTGTGCGACGCAAACATGCACCCAGAGGCGTGCGCGCGAATCGCACTCGAGTTCGCCGCCAAGTTCGCGTCTTCAAAGGGCGAGTCTTGGTTGATTCTCTCGACCAAAAACTTTTGCAAGGGGACGCTTAAGTGGTTAAAGGCCATCGATGCGACGATGGAGATGGTCCGCGACGCGGGATACGACGAAGTTTTCGTTCGGCATTTGTTCAGTAATTGCGCCGAGGAGAAGACGCTCTTCGCGCGTAGGTTAGGGAAACCGTAGGAATCGCTAGAATTGAATTGCATAGACCTGTGCCCCCTAGATTTGATCGACCACTCGTTCACACACGGTAAGATCCCGTTTCCCGACATAACTGCTCGACGAGTCCCTGTAAGATGATGACAGGCGCTTTGCCTCTACTAATGCGGATTTCCATTTCAAGCATTTCGATAACGGTTCGCACGTTGTACTCGAGGTCCATCGTGTGCGCATTGAGAAGCCGTGTTTCACCCTCGATCGTGCATGTCTTCGATGCGTAGTCCGGATCAAGAACGCGATGGAGTCGGAAACCGCCGGGGTGTCGGAAAGCTTCCCGCCACGCATCGTCGACGACTGGCACGTCCTCCACTCGCATCGTGACGCGCATGAGACAATCATCGTGACTACCAAAGATCACACTCGCCGCTTCATTCTGCGTTTTCCACACCGGACAGTGGCGCGTTATGTCGCCTTCTTCTGTGCGGACTCCTTGTACCTGATACGTCAACACTCTGCCTCCTCTTCCATTCGCGGTCAGAAGCGCCGCGTGGGCCGTCTTGAGCGTCAGATCCTCCGTACCTGTTCCGAGTACGCGCGCGGCGAGTTCGAACCCGAAATTATGCCCCACACACATGACAGTTCTCTCTGGATCATCCTTATCAACCTCACGCATCACCTTACGGCCGATGACCTCGGCACTTCGCTCGCCAGATACGTCGTCGCCGTGACATACGTCGTACAATTCCGTCGAATACACTACTCTCGCGTCGACGCTCACGTCAACGCACTCAACCGTCTCCAAGCATCGCATCGCGTCCGACGTGATGACTAAATCAGGACTCCAACCCATGATTCGAATGAACTCACCCGCCAGCTTCGCCCGTTTCCGCCCTCGCCCCTTGAGCGGCCGCTCCTTGTCCGTGAGCGTCCCGTCGCTCCAATCCGACTTCCCGTGTCTCAACAAAATCAAACGCAAATCATCGCTTCGACCCCACGGCGCCGGATGTCTACGATCGGCGTCGTCGAAGTACATCTTCTGCGTCTCGTCGTACGTCAGCTCGGCATCCACCGGCGTCTCACCGGCGGTTTTACCTCGCGTCTGTTTCGCCATCGAGCGTTTCTTTGCGTCTTTGCCGTTACGCTTTGCGTCCCGTCTCACGTCGCCGCGCGCACCGAACGACGCGTGGGCGCGCGCGCGCGGTCGCGCGAGGACGCGCGCGCGCATCGGTGCGCTCGAGTCGCGTCTGCTCGCGGGACGACGCGCGTGGACGAATGGCGACTCAAAGTAGTTGGTTTTTGGCGTTTTTCTTTGCGTGACGCTTCGACGCGACGACGGTCGCGTCGGCGGCAACTCTGAGCACAACACATGAGACTAGGATTTGGCTACGTTTCGTACGTTCGTCACGAGAGGAGGAAACGGTCGAGTGAGGTGGCGATGTCGTACACCACGTCGGCGCACGGAGCGATGACGGAGCGCAGGACGTACTTGCCGTCGCCCGCGGGGTAGAGCTCAACGCCCGGGCGAACGTCGCGCGTGCCGCCACCCACGGGTGAATTCGCTATTCCGAAGAGTCCTTTGACGACGTGGCGTACCGGACTCGCGAGCATGCGCGCCGGGGACATTGAGAGAAAAGACGTCTTCGGCGGCGGCGCGCCGATGAGCGCTCGCCCGAGCTTGGTCGGCGTCTCCCCCGTGAGCGCGGCGTGCGTGGAAAAGACGATGTCGGAATCCTGACCGCCGTCGTCGACTTTTCCCGACCGCATCGTCCCGCTCGCAGCTCCCGAGCTCGACCTCGCGTCTCGCACGCGCCTGAGCGTCACGTACACCATGCGTCCCGCGCGCGCGTCCAACGTCGCCGGTTCGTCAAACGTAAAGCACATCAACGGATACGTCCCCGCCGTCGTCACCGCCGTCCCGCGTTCGTCCAGCTCCGTCCTATGCGGTGACGCGAACGCACGCGCGATCACCGTCGTCGCCAGATCCCCTCGATCCTTCTCTGTGAACTGTCCGACCACCACGACGTACGCGCTCGCCGCGCACGCGTTCAGCTTGAACGTCTCCGCCCAATCCACCCCACCGTACCTCGCGGACTCGAAATCCTCCGTCATCCCCGGTTTCCACCGCTTCACGAACGTCGAGTGATCCACCGCGCTCACGAAGTGTAAGACGTCGTCCGGGGCGAACGCGCGCGCGCTCGCGTCGTCGTCGCGTCGTTCGACGAATATTTTTTTAAACGCTCGGCGCCACGCCTCGGGCGGTCTCGACGCCTCTCGCATCGCGCGCCCGCTCGAACTCTCGCCCGCGGTCGAGACGTCGGACCACGACGTCCCCGCGATGGGGCTCGACGTCGACGGCGACGCGTCCATCGGCGCGCGACGACGTGCGGGGGCATCGATGGGGCATTCGAAAACACATCTGTAGAAATACGAAACGTCACATCACCGCGCGCGGTGCCTCGGGCGCGCGGAGGCGTTACGACGGCGCGACGGCGCGACAGAGCGCGACGCGACGACGGCGGGCGAGGGAAAAGACGGGAGAGATGTCCGCGAAAGGGGCGGTGAAGATACGCGTGAGCGCGCTTCCGGTGACGGAGTGTGAGCGACACCCGTACCTGACGCACTTTCAACACGAGGGGCCGCACGGCGAACGCGCGCGCACGGTGCGAGTGATGTGCTCGCCCACGGACACGGTGCGAACGGTGAAGACGCGCGTGCAGGAAGAGCTCGGAGAACGCGTGGAGATGCTCAAGCGCGGTGGGGTTCCGGAAGGGGAAGAACTCGACGACTCGAAGACGCTCGCCGAGCTCGGACTCGGCGAGCGGGACATGAGCGTGTGGGAACATCTGTGGGTCGACAGCGAGGCCAGGATCGCGCGCATGGAAGCTGATAAGGAGAAGATGATGTCCATCATTCACGTGCATCCGAACGACATGACGCCAAAGATGATTCGCGCGCTGAAGGACTGCTGCCCACCGCGCTTTTGAGCGACGCGCTTGCGCTCGCAATTGTAACGTACACGGATGGCTTTTACAATTCTCGACTACGCTGGGGCGATGGCGCGCGCAATGGCGATCTTATACGGGGGTACGGGAGGTTTCATCACCCAAGGGTGGCGCAAGCACGCGAAAAGGATCACCGCCGCCACGAATCTGAAGGGGATGAACAGGAAACCAACCGCGGCGCCAAGAAGCATCGTCTGGAACCTCGCGCTGTCTCCCTCGTCGTCCCACGACAAAAGTGTGTGAAACTTTTCTAAAGGCTCGCGCAAGAACTCAACCTGCGCCTGGCACCAAAAGCTAAACTGCACGATGTTATCGTAGGCGTCGTGCGACGGAGCCGTCAAGGCAGCAACGGCATGCGACTCACGAATAAGCGACGACAGTGGCGCACGAGTGCTTCCAGCCGGAGCCCTCGTAACGTCTACGGAGCCCACCAATCGACTCTTGTTCTCACCGAGAATCGTAAACAACGTCGGCTTGTTTCTCAGCGAGATATGCCACGCGACGAACGCAAAGTAAGCCACGAACATCAGTCGCGGCATCCAAAGGTATACGAAGATGGCCACGTGTAACGCCGCTGTGTACATTGGCTTCTCCCATGATACCGCTTGAGTGAGTGGTTTCACCACGGCTTTGAACGTTTCTAAAGTTGCAGCCAGACGTATCATCGCTGCCTTCGTTCGGCGCGGAGTCGCGATGGACGCGTCAGCTTCACTCACTTCCAAGATGGATCGCACAGCTGGCTCGGGAAGAGCGTCGTGTCCCGTGACGAGTCGCTCGTAGTTGACCATGTCCAGATCACGGAGTAGCGTGTCCATGTCGCTGGGTCGATACGCGCTCGGCGGTAGCACCGGCGTGCAATAATGGACGAACAACGCAGTGTTACTCACCTGCTGTTTGAATTGTAAGCGAAGCGTGATTTCGCCGTTTTCCGTGCCCGTTCCAAAGATGTCTTTCGTCGTCAGTGGAATCGTACAAATTATCGCACGACCGTGTTCTGGGAGGCTAAACGGAGAAAATCGAATCTTGCCAAGGATCTCATCAGTCTTGAGCCGATCGTAAATGACGATAGTGCACCATTCGGAGGCATCACGAACAGCCGCGTGGAGCTCACGCTTCCATCCCGACGGTCCTCCGCTTCCGTTTCCGGGTAGAAGCGCCCAGGCGGAACCGACATTTGCGACAAGTGCTGGCGAACGTCCTTCTGGTAAACCCTCCATTTTCAAAACTTTCACCTTGAGTTCACCGAGCAAGGGCTTTTGCTGCTGAGAGTATGTAAGAGCGGGATCGATGTACGCCTGCAGGAAAACGAATCCTGCTTCTTCTCCCTCGTCGGTTGATTGAAGCTTGTAATATCGACCGGCGGGTGGATCGGATACTTGCCCATGTCGATCGATTCGACGTTTCGGAAGATTCGCGACGTCCACCTCAGTCGTTCCAAGCACCTCACCCGTGTCACACGTGACGACATCCACGCGCACGAGGCCCGTGCACGGAGCTTCCGTGTTGAAGGATGCCTCGCCAAAGGAGAAGCGCATGTCCTCTGTAGTGCTAACACTCGTCTCGCTCGTCTCCGCTTCTTGACTTCCATACGATATGATGCATCGAATCGATTTGCTCTCGGTCGGATTCAAACCTCGAACCATGCGCGCGTTGACAGTGATGGCCGCCAGTGCGGGAGTTACGCGAACTATCGCCTTTTTTGCGACAGTGCCCTCGGCCTTGTCATCGTTTACGAATCCAGCCGCCTCAGAGGCGGAGCCAATCCATGCGGCAACGTTCAGGGTGCCAATACCACGCGCAGCATTCTTCGACACCGGTTTTGTTCGCAAGCCAGCGCCCGGCCCTTCAACCTTCTTGCGCGGAATAGACAAATTGATGGCGAATGGAGCGGCGCGTACGTTTGCTTTCCCCACCTCGTCTCGCGGCAGTGCGGCTATTGGGAGCATCGCTTCGCCGATTTCATCGCCTTGCGAGTCTCTAACGACGATTGCCACGTGTTCACCTTCAAATTCGTTCAATGACGCCATCGTCATGACGACAGTTTGTTCGATGTTGGCGCTGTAACCTCCGAATCCAGTCGGTACTGGGTTCGTCGACGCCACCGAGTGACTGACGTCGCCCAGGATGAGCGTCGTCGTCGGCGTCCCCGGAACATTCGCCGCCGCGCCCTCCACGCTAACGTCGAGGAGCTGAAGAAAAACGTACATTTCCGGGCTGAAGCCAAACTTCAAGGGCGGCCCGTTCGGACTCGTGTTCGTCGCCACCGCCTTGTCTTCGCTATCCGGCATGGATTCAAGCATCGCAATCATCGAATCAAACGCACGGTCGCGTCCTTTGATGTTGTGAATCTTGATCGCAGAACCGTCCGCTATCTCCATCGAGATCGAGTTCACGCCCTCCACGGTGAGTTCTTGAACAGCCATGGCGTCCGTGTACCACGCCACCTTGTTCTTTTCATCGCCGCCGATGAAAGCGAACCCGTGCTTGATGACGTACAGCGTGCCTTTATCTCCCTTGTTCGACAGCGCATTCGGGAGTGTCTTCGGTGTCACTAGGGAGCATTCGTACGACGCCACGAACTCTGTTTTGGCGGGAAGGTCGAACGTCTTGAGAACGTCGCCCCTCTCCGTGCGTCCCTCCTTCGGTGAGTCCCCGCCCCCGAACACGCCGAAGAACCTCGCGCCCATGTCAGTGAAAATGCTCACTTCGTCGTCATCCTTCTCCGGTTTCTTCGTCGTCGGCAGCGCTTGCGTCGCTTCCTTCGTCGCCGGCGCGATTGCCTTTGGTCGCACGCTCACATTCGTCGCCCTCTTCACGCATCGCGTGAAGTACTGCTTCGCCGTGACCATGGTCCCATCCTCGCTCGAAACCGTTCGCGCGACAATCATACTCCCTCGTTCCATCCAGCGTCGCGTCTCCATGAGCAGGCAATCATCCGTCTCCACCCACACGTCTCCGTCCCATCGCGCCCGCGCGCGCATCGTCGACCCATCCGAGTTCACCACCTCGGTCCACGCATCGATCTCACTCACGTTCGTCATCGCCACGCATCCACTCACGAGCGTATCCTCCAACCGCGCACCATCGTGCGCGATGTGTCGCGTCTCTCTCAAATCGATCCGTCCCGCGAACCGCCTCGCCAACGCCGCGCCCGCGTTCTCGATGAACCGATCCGCCCCTTCCGTCGTCTCCGTCTCCCACGTTCCACTGCGTCGCGTCCGTCGCGTCGTCAGTCACCGATCCCTTCGTCCACCATCGTTCGTTCGACGTCCAACGCGCGCGCGCGCGCGGGACGAGCATCATCTTTCCACATCACGATCGATGCGAGGCGATCGCCCATTGCATTGTGTCTCGGTCGCCACGACGCGTGCGCACCTGAAATTCGGACGCGCGCGCGTCGCCGTCGCCGCCTCGCCCGCGCGCGCGACGGAGCGCGCGCGCAGGACGCCCGAGGCGTCGCTCCCGTCACCGCGCATCGCGCAATGACGATTCATGTGTGATGATGATGATGATGATGATGATGATGATGGTGTTGCGCGGCGACGCGCGACGAGACGGCGGCGACGCGCGTCGCGGGCGTCCGCGGCATCGCGCGACGGTCGACGCCGACGATGGGGCGAATGATACGTTTGGTGGTCACGCTCGCGTTGGCGTGCGCGCCGACGCTCGGACGAGGCGCGTGGTGAACGTGGCGCGACGACGCGGACGACGCGGACGCGGGCGACTGGCGACTGACGACTGACGACGCGCGCGGACGAAGGCGCAGGCATGTCGGACACGGACGCGTACGACGCGTCACGCGTGGTGGATTTGGTCGAGGGTGAGACGACGAGATACGTCGGTGCGGACGTGGGAAGCGGGGCGTTCGTGATGTATCGATTTGAAGTCGCGTGCGCGCCGACGGACGCGGAGATTTCGTTTCGGCGCGCGGCGCGCGCGCGGGCGACCGAGGAGACGAACGGTGCGACGAACGGGGTGGATGCGGCGGAGATTCTGTTTGTGCTTCGACGTGGGCGAGTGGCGAATCCGAAGGTGCTCGGTTTCGATGTGGAGGACGCGATTACGTACACGATGTTTCCGTACGAAGACGCCGGAAACGTCGACGTGCGCGGCGTCGAAACGGGGGCGTGGTACTTACAGTTGATCGTCGTCACCGGACGCCTACGATCGGGGTTCGAGATCACGCACACGCTGTTCGGTAGTCGTGCCGCGAAGTACGCCGAGTTCAACGGGTGCGAGCTGGACGATGGAACGCTCTCGGTGAGCGTCCGAGGGGCGAACGAAACGAGGACGTTTCGAGAGCCGTTCGTCGCGGAGCCGGATTACGGAGCGTGCGGGAACGACACGCACTCGTGTTACCTGGGGGAGAAACACTCTGGATTTCCCGATCAAGGTCGAGGCGCGGAGAGAATGGGTGTCGGACCGATCGACGCCCGAGCGGTGGTCGCTATGTCGATCCCGGTCAGGTTCGATTCAGACTTTTTCCTCCTCGCGGGCGACGCGAGAAAATTCCTAGGTGACTACGAACGCGGCTGGTTCACCACGGACGGCTTGCTGAACGCGTCGCTGACGAGTGATCCATCGAGATTGCTATCTCAGATGACGGTCAATCGCACGGAAATGCCGTTCGATCACGAGGCGTGCGGAACGTTGCTCAACGCCGCCGATTTGCGAGGCGCCGTTTGCGTCACCTCGCGCGGCGGATGCTTCTTTTCCCAGAAAACGCTCAACTGCCAAAACGCGGGGGCCGTCATGACTGTGATCATCGATACCGAATTTGAACCCTTGGCGGCGGTGAACTGGATCGGTTCGCATCCGCCTTCGAGCTTACGGATACCTACAGTCGTGATGAACTTGATCGATGGAAACAAGCTGTTGACTCGCATATACGACGAACCCGAGGTGAACATCCGCGCAGACGTGTACGAGTGTCGTCCTAAAGTGAAGTGCCAGACGTGTGCCCCGGGGCTGACGTCTCCTGAAACGAATTGCACGACCGCCAGGTGTCCCGGCATGGACGAGCTCTTCTCGTACAATTGCTCGGCGCGAGGCGAGTGTCGCTTTGACTCGAATCAAATCGAGTTTTCGTGCGCATGCGAGGATGGGTACTCGGGAATCGGGTGCGAAACAACCGATGCGATCCAATCCGATACCAGCCGCCACCACGTCAACAAGGGCACCGAGCGCGCAGTCATCGGAGTCGTATGTGGCATTTTCTCGGCGGTCGTCTTGCTCCTCGTCTTAGTTCAAATTCGTCGTCGTCGAATGCGCGGCGGACTCCCCGCGCACTTCCTGTGGAAGCCCGACGACGACGAACCATCGAATGTCACGAATCGAGCTGTCGCGTCGACGTTGGCGGCGTGAATGATTCAATGTTCCCCTCTTTACAACGCGCGTTCTCGCCTCGCAAGGCGCTAGAAAGCTTAGTCTTTCCCGTATCAAATCACCCCTCGATCCTGCAGCTCCTTCGCCAGCGCGTCGTTCCCTTGCATCAACTCCCTCAGATTTGTCTCCACGTCGCTAAGCTTTTTCGCCAGGTACTCCCTCTGCGCCATGGCCTTTTCGATCTCCTCCGTCGCCTTGGCGCTCGTCTCCTCCAAGCCTTTGACCAGCTCCGCCCGACCCTCCAGCACGAACGATCGTCCGAGCGGCTTGAACGTCCGCGCCGTCTCCTCCACCGCCTCCATCTCCTTCGCCGTGAGCTTCGCGCGTTGGCGATCGTTCTCTCGCTGCTGCACCGACGAACGCAAGTTTTTCATCTGACTGGTGGCCTCGGCGTACTTGGCCTGGAGCTCCACGAATTGCTTGAAACCGTCGCTCATCGGGGCGCTTTGCTGCGAGGCGGCTGACATCGTGACGTGCGCGCGCGTACGTCGCGTACGTCACCGAAGACGCGTCGAATCGAACGGGTGTTTCGAGGTCGAAGCGTCGATCAGTGAGGCGCGCGGCGCTTCGGGACGCGTCTTCGACGCGCGGGACACCTCCGGTGCATCATTCATAGGTCGACGACGACGCATCGCACGCGGTCGATGTACAATGACGCTATTATGTGTTACAATTCCTACGCGATCACGCCGATTCGACCACTCACGGCGCCTCGCGCGCGTTCTCGCTCGCCGTCCGTCCCGCCGGAGCGAACCGCAATCGCCGCTCCGCCGTCGCCACGATTCCAGCCTCCGGTTTTCTCTCCTCGCTCTCGTCCATCCCGATCACTAACGTCTCCCCCACGCCTAAGATGTACCGTCCGACGTACCGTCGTCCGTCCATCGTTCGTAACGTCGGCGATTCCGTGTCCAGTCCCTCGAAACGAATCTGTTCCCCGGGAAGCGCTTCGAGCTCGAGCGGGAGCTCGCATATCACGTGATCGCGCTTGACGATCGTCCGGGTCGACGCGCGCGCGGTGGGCATCGTGCGGTGACGCGCCGAGGAGTGGCGCGGTGTTTGCGGGAACGATGTCGAATCGAACGCATCTTGTGCAACCGACAGTTTGACGCGCGCGTCGTCGTCCACGGCTCGTCTCGATCGGCGCGCGCGCGCTGGCGCGGTCGTTCGCGCGCGAGGACGGTGTGCGCGGCCGAATTAACGCGCGTGAGCGAAGAGACGAGAGGATTCAGTTCGAATCGAGCGATTCGCACATCTGTCAACAATGCGCTCGAACGCGCGCGAGAAGACGCGCATGACGCGCATGACGCGGTATGTCCTCGTCGCGGTGACGACGTTGAGCGCGTGCGTCGTCTCAGCCGCGGAGATCAAGCGGAACGGCGCGAGAGGGGTGGTACAGGAGCTCGTGTGGGCGGCGCACAGATCCGTGAGCGAATCGCGCGTCTTCATGACTACGAACGCGCGCGAGGTGTTTTACTCGAGCGACAACGGGAAAACGTTTCAGGCGATATGCAAAGAAAACGTCCTGCGAGGATGTGAGGAGCTGCGGTCGACGCCGATGCTGATCTCGCGATTCGATGACGACAGTGTCGGCGACTCGGACGCCGCAAAGGAAATCTTGATTCAAGACGCGGGCGGGAAATACATATGGGCCTCGCCCGATCTAGGAGACACGTGGAGATCGCCGTGCGAGAAGGCGGATGGAAGCGCGGGATGCTTTGCAAACCCGGCGAAGTCGGTTCCGGGCGGTCGTGGGCGTATCCTTGGAGCGATTAAGCCGCACCCGAGACGCGCGGGCTGGTTCCTGGCCTTTGTCAAGACGTGCGACTCGTGGAATCCGAGCAAGAATACGGACTGCGCGCCGTTCCGCTTGCTCGCGAGCGGGGACTTCGGGAAGTCCTGGACGGACATGATGGCGAACTCGCGAGGGAAGATTGCGTCCTTCATGGATTACGACTGGGGACCCGACGACGGATCGTCTCCGACGCCAACGATTTACGCCACCGCGTTCCGCAACGCCGCAGCGTTCACAGATCATCGAGATGGGTGGGACTATAACATCGATCTTTTACGATCGAACGATTTATTCGCCTCCATTGACGTGGTGGAACAGTGCGCGAACGCATTTGAGATTCTCAACGGTGACGTGTACTCGGCGTTGCCGCCGGATTGCGAGGATTTCCACAAGAATCGAAATCGTCCGTCCGCCATCGAATCGAGCGACGTCGTTTTGAAGATCTCCACCGATCTCGGTCAAACGTTCAACACCGCGTGCTTCCCGATGAACATGCCGAAGACCGGTTTTGTGATTTACGACTACCACGCCGGCGACGCTGGACCGGATTTCATATCGGTCGATCACACTGAACAAAATATTATTGAGGCAGCGGCGCCAATGAACAAACTGTACGCCTCGGATGAATCGCTCCAGCTATTCTCGTTGAGCATGAAAACGCTCGTGCGTTCGCAGCAATCGTTCGCCATGCAAGACTTCGTCCCGGTGTACGGACTCGACGGTGTGTTTGTGGCGAATCAAATCAGCTACAAGGCGTTCATCAGCGGCTTTCCGCCGGAGCGTTACAGCGACTTTTTCGAATCGCGCATCTCGTTCAACGGCGGCGGGACTTGGCACAAGATTCCCGCGCCGGAGACAAACGCGGAAGGGGTCAAGTACCAGTGCTCGTCCGATCAATTTGACTGCGAGCGATATGGTTTGCATCTGCACGGCGAGGTCGACTGGGAGGTTTCGGAGGATTGGGAGGACAAATTCGGGGGAGTGTACAGCAGACCGAGCGCGCCGGGGATCATCATCTCCACCGGTAACGTCGGAGATGCTCTCACAGACGACGTTTCACAAGTCAACACGTACATTTCTCGCGACGGTGGCGCAACTTGGATGGAGACTAAGCGAGGTGCATACATTTACGAGTTTGGCAATCACGGCGGCTTACTCGTGATCGCGAAGCAATTCGAACCAGTGGACAAGGTCGAGTACAGCCTGAACGAAGGTAAGACTTGGGCCGCTATACAGCTCGCTAGCAGGGTATTTGTGCACAACATCCGCGTCGATCCTTCGGCCAAGGGACACGTGTTCATCATTCACGGCGCAACTGCCGCCGACGACGCCTCGGACCCGTCCCGTGGTTCGTACTTCGTCATCAACTTTGACGATATTCTCGCCGAACAAAAGATAAAAGTGTGCGCAGATGGCGACTACGAGACGTGGATGCCTGCCGCGCCCGGAAGTGGCGGGTGCCTCTTGGGGCAGCGGGTGCAATTGAAGCGCCGCAAACTCAGCGTCGAGTGCTTCAACGATGGCGACGCGTGGCGTGAAAAGCAAGTCGTCGGCACGTGTGCGTGCTCCCGTGTGTACGACACCGAGTGCGACTATGGAAGTGAGCGCGTCTATAACATTCCAAACGCCAGCGACTGGCCGCATTGCGTCACGATGAGCGACGTGAATACAAAATGCCAAGCGCGAAGCCACGTGAGCGTGCGTCCGTCGAACCTTCGCATCGTCTCCGGAGACAAATGCTCGGGAGCCGCCGCCGTCCTGGGCGATGACGATCATAATGACCGACATCATCACCATCGAGGTCATTTATTCTTCCGCGTTCTAATGTTCGTCACCGTGTTTGGCGTCGTTGTGTTCGGAGCGCTGTACGTGCGTCAAAACTACGACCTCGGCACGCTGTCGACCACATTCCCGAATGCCGCGCGAAACGCGGTGAACACTGCGTACGACAAGGTGCGAGACATATTCGGGAAGCGAGAACACGCGACGCCGCCTGGATACTTCGAGCCGCTCGGCGACTTCGCGGCGGAGGACGAAATCTAAACAGGTCATCTATCTTTCGCGTAATCTTTCGCATGTTTTTATTGTACAATTCTTTACACTACGATCTCTCGAACGGCTTCGTCATGTCGATCAATCGCTGGGCTATACTTCTATAAATTCTTGCTACATCCCCATCCGCGTCCGCGACGACAATCGGTGCGCCCTCGTCGCTCCGTGCGCGAATATCGCCGTCAAGAGGCACCTCTCCTAGAAACTCCACCCCGCGAGCCTCCGCCGTCGCTCTCGCCCCTCCCTTCCCGAAAACGTACGCTCGCGTCCCATCCTTCTCCTCGTAATACGCCATGTTCTCAATCACGCCCAACACCGGCGTCCGAATTCGCTCGTACATGTCTATACCTCTGCTCGCGACTTCGCTCGCCAACGCCTGCGGCGTGCTCACCACGACCGCCCCCGTGAGCGGCAACTTTTGCGAGATTGAGATCTGCGCGTCCCCGGTTCCCGGTGGCATGTCCACCATCAGCACCTCCACGTCTCCCCACCGCGTATCGTTGATCATCGTCGTCAGCGCTCCGCTCACCATCGGTCCGCGCCACGTCGACGCCCGTCCCGGCGGCAGCAGAAATCCCATAGATTGACATCGCACCCCGTGGTTCTCCATCGGCAGCATCTTCTTCTCACCGTCCGTCACGGGTCGACCCGAGAGACCCATGAGCGTGGGCACGCTCGGTCCGTGGACGTCGGCATCGAGCAGGCCGACGCGCAGACCGATTCGTGCGAGCGCCACGGCGAGGTTGACGCAGGTCGTGGACTTACCGACGCCGCCCTTTCCGCTCGTGACGGCGAACACGCGCGCGCACGACGACAGGCTCGTCGGGAGTTTCGGTGGCTTGAACTCTGGAGGGTTCTGCGTCATGGAACGCGCGCGCGGACGAGTGCAGGGGGACGGATCTGGATGTGGCTACCGCGCGTTGGTTCGGTTGGCGTCGCAACGTCGCGTCGGAATGTTTGGCTAGGAGGCGAGGAAACGCTGGATCTCGCGGGCGGACATCGCGCCGCGATACACCGTGGACGTTCCACGAGCGCCGTCGAAGGTGACGAGGGTGGGGTAGCGCGCGACACGGTCGACGAGGGACGACGACGACGCGTCCCATCGGGCGTGACAGTCGTTCGTCGAGCAGTCGATTTGGAACACGCGCGCCGCTTGCGAACCGTCGACCAAGGTTCGAGAGTCCAGATCGCCCAACGCTGCGTTGAGCAAGGCGTGAAAGCGCTGGCAGAAAGCGCACGCCGACGAACCGTAGAGGACGGAAAACTTTCCTCTCCGGCGCAGCGTCATGGCTTGCGCCATTTTGTAATCGAGCTGGTTTCTCGTGACGTGCGCCACGCGCGGCGGTCGCGTGCCGGGCGGTGTCCTGGGCGTCCGCTTCGTCGATCGCGTATGTAAACGCGTCTCTGAGAGCGCACCATCGGGAAGTGGCGAGACGTTCACCGTCGTGACGACGTCGGCTTCAACGTCGACGAGCGCGACGTAAATTGCCTGCGCGGATGCCGACGATCGCTCGGGGTCGTCTTCGGCGTCATCCCCGGAACCATCGCACGCGTCCGTGAGTTGACACAACAGCCACGTCCCGCGACTGATGTCCACTACCCCCAAGGTGGCGTTCAGGCTCCGTTCCGCGAGACTGTGAATGTACCCTCCTAGCTCGTCGACGTCTTCGTCCGCCTCGTCGACGAAAATCATCGCGAGTTTTCGAGCTCCAACCGCCGGACTAAACGGACTCAGGCTGAAAAACCCACGGTGTACGACCGTATTCAGCGTCGCATTCGCGAGCGCGCTCACCCACTGCTCTATCGTTTCGTTCGTCATTTGCTGCGTCCACGTCGAGTGCAGCGCGCCTCGCACGAAGGCGACGGCGGTGATGTCATCCGGATCGAAATCCGGAAGCAACTTTGCCCCCACGCGCCACGCATCGGCACCCATGAGCACCCCTAATCTATTCTTCGGCGAGTACCCCATCGTGTGCACGATCGCCCGGCGAAGCGTCTCCATCGACGTCGTCGACGCGCACCCGCCCTCCGACGTGCACGGATCCAACACCACGAGCGACAGCTCCGTCCCGGCGCCGTCAAAAAACTCCCCAATCTCGTGCGCGTCTCGCAACCTCGAGAACGGCCACAGCGCCAACGCACTGGCGTTCTTTCCCGACGTTTCCCGTCGCAACGCCCTCGCCGCGCGCGCCAAAGCCGCCGCGCTCCACTCCCCTCCGTACCGCGCCCGGGCGTCGCCGAACGCGAACTCCGCGCGCGGTTCGCTCCACCGCCCGATCCCTCGTCGCGCCCCCCCCCGCGTCGGTCGCCACGGCCTGGACCAAATAACCCGCGCGTCGCCGTCGCCCGTTCCATCGAGCTCTCGATCCAGCGCCAGCGCCACCGCCCGCGTGCTCCCGCACCACGGCGGCGCCGTGAGCGTGAGCGTCACCCCCCCATCCGCGCCCTCGCTCGCGTTCGCCCATCCACCGCCGTATCGCACCTCCCGGAGCTCGGGC